GATAATGCTGCTGAAGAGGACGCTGCTGTAGAAGAGACTATAGAGGATGCCGAGGAAGACGTTGTAGAAGTGAGCTCCATTTTTCAAGGACCTGTCTTGTGAAGAATTCTCCGATTTGAATCCGGAATGTTTGATTGCGGCGTCCTCATATGCTGCGTATGCACTTCAATCCCCATTAAAGAGAAGTCGTTCGCAGTCTTGAGAGCGCCTATTGTAGCTTCTGAGTAAAAGGCACTCGTAAGCTTCTAGTGCTTGCTAAACGGTGGCAGTAGAATTGAAGTATCAGTCCTTTGCAGCTTTTCTCACTTTTCTATCCATGAGCAGCGCGAAAGGTGACTGTAATGGTCACCATCACTATTTTAACGTTGCGCTATAGGCGCTTCTACCGATTGTTTCATGAGATTCTCATTAAACGGATTAAAAAAGCATTGTTGTGCATTTTATGAAGTTCGCTTCAGGCTGCTGATTCTGAAAATGTTGAAGATGCGAATTCTTCGAATGTCGATCTGTTCGAATGAGATCAGGGACTTACGACTTCGGATCCCAACTTATCATTTTTCTTTGATGTCGTGGTTTGCATCACTGTTTTCTAACATTCTCATGTACATCTATCTCACTACAGCTTAACAGCTTGATATGTACATTAGTTTGCGATGGGACATATACTCATGCTGTGCCTTTTTCAATTTTTTTTCACATGTTGGTGGTCCATTTCAAATTGTATATGTTTATGTGGTTTCTGCGAGTGCTTTATGCATATAATACGTTTACAAATTTTGAAATTCAACGGTATTTGTATCACTATGGTTTTGCCAGCTTTGCTGGACTTCTCTACTTAGTCTTTTTCCAAGCTGCTGGTAAAGCTAAGTATTGTATTCCAATCAGCGGGACCATGGTAACTGTTTGACTAGTCAATGTGCTTTTATTTTTTTTACTTTTGCACTCGATGCAGTAAGCTTTACGTTTTCAGAACTGAGTTAGATAAAGCAGTGAAGATTGTTGTACTCCATTCTCTTATTCTATCTTTTTACTTTTTGATAACTATTATTGAAATCGTCAAATGCGTCTGCCAGAGAGTACACCATATGCACAAGTTTTTGTACATTTATTTCTCCGTCTCGTTGAGGTCACTTTGTGCGGCCGGTTTGTAGACGTACTTCTCTTTCAAGGCATCTTCCTCTACAGCATCGTCCGAAAACGGAATGCAGGGTTTTTGCTTCGATTTAACCATGCTCACGTACGGCATCCTAAAAAATCTGCATTAAAAATATCGTTTGAAGAAGTTGCGCTTGTCCTATTCCGGAGTCAGGATGACTACGAACCGAAATACGCTTGGCTCTTACCCAAATGGTATCCCGGCAGTGGAACGTCCTGTGTTTCGGGAAGGAATATCACGAGAATTCCAGCGCACAGAGAGAACACAGCGAAAATGAGCATTGGAACAATAGGAAGCGTGACATCAGACAATATGGCAATGTATCCAGAAGCACCGGCACCCATCCGTGCAATCTGAAAAGGACTACTTTGAAGGTTTGTATGTGTAAATTCGATCACACACATTTGCTTTATTGCCTATTTTCACTCGTTTTATTTGAGCACACATCAAAAACATTGACAGAGTCCACAAAATCAGAGCGGAGTGCGTCCGTCGTGAGTATTTGTAAGGAATTTTTACTACTCATTGCTGAATGTAGAGAACTGCCAACCTGCTTAAAGTCCACCTGCCACCGCTGTGCATGCTTTGGGTTTTTTTTTTGAAACGAAGGTGGGTAAGGAAATAAATCAAAGGAAGATAGATGCAAGTGGAGGGGTTGTAGTCCCTCTCCCACTGCAACTTGTACAACCACGTCCTCGTCCAGCCGATAAATATTGTTATCAAGAACCTTCAAAACGCACAAGGAGAGGGCAATCCTTTTGATAGTCCTCTGTCTAAGGCACGTGCGTAAAACGAGCACCTAAGCTACCATGCTTCGAAATCCCTTCCCTTCAACATTAAATTTTTGAAAAATTACAAACAATAGGCGAGTTTGGAAAATCCAGACAACGTGTTGAGATCGCGAAAACAGCTTTTTTCGGCATATACTTTATATAATTCAAAACATCCGTATGAACAGATAATTTTTTGTACTTCTGGAATGTCTCTGAAAAACATTGCTATACGAAGTGTTATCGTATGCATACATAATCGAAGCATCGAGGACGTAAGCAAACCAGCCCTTTTGGCACATCGGCTGGGACCGTATGCTGAATGTTGGGGAGGGGATGGGGTCCCCAACGGTCGACGGTTTACTTCAACTCGGTTGGTACGATAGGAGAGTACTGACGCAAGTGGTGCAGCTGGTCCAGCAGCTCCGCCAGAAGGACTGGTTTGCTCACCCTTGGACTAAGCCTAGGAGAGGGGACGGACCCGTCCTCTCTTTAAGGCTTAGTTCTAAGGTAAGCACCAAATTGTGGCGGTTCTAAGGACCGCGTTGAAGTTGTCCGTCCACCGTCGGGGACACCATCCCCTCCCCAACATTCAGCATACGGTCCCAGCCGATGTGCCAAAAGGGCTGGTTTGCTTACGTCGAACATTGAACCTATCGAAGTTCCTAGAAACTGGGCCAAAGAAACTCTAAAAGGAGTTCATGGCTTTCTCACTTTTATAACCATGGTTAGTTCTAACTGCCTAAAAACTGTAATTGACTAACTATAAGACCTTTTAAGATTTAATGATGTTTGTAACCATTTTTGCCGAAGGAATTGTTGTGACCTATATCCATAAAAATTCTTGCATTCCTTACCATTGAGGAGATTCCTACAGCACTGTTAGTCGGATTCAATTCAGAGGTGAAAATATAAAGAATATTGAAGGCTCCTTGTATACAGACTTTGCCGAGCAACATGAAGATCAGCGCCATCTGAAATAAAGAGTAAGAGGATGCTCGAGCTTATTGAAAATCTGGTGCTGAATGATCTGTACCGTTGTTCGCTTGTTGTACATTGCCAGCATTGCTGCCATCAAAAGCGATCCCGCACCAATTAATGTGATCATTTGTGAGCTTAAAAGTGACAAATATAGAAATTTTCTTCAAGAATCCAGGAATTTTCAGGAAAAATTTATGGTTGTAGAAACGAAATCGGTCTCGTACCTTTTTCTTCCATATTTCAGCAGGAACACACAAGCAGCTAACGTTGGCAGTTCAATAGCTCCAGCTATCGCATTGTTCAGGAAGAAATTACCATCGAATACCGATCTAAATGAAGTAAAACCAGTGTAAGGCAACATTTCAGCCTCTCAAAGCGTTTCATCCTACCTTCCAGGCGAAGACTGATCTGATAGGGCGATGACAAGTCCGTAGTAGACAAGTGCGGTGGCGATCTGTAAAGGATCTGTCAAGGTACATTCATCAAAAATGGATGGAAAGAAATGAAACGAACCCAAATGATGAACAGCATAATGTTTCGTACACGTAGTTCGGCTGCCCGAAAAAGATGAAAATAATGAGGTCGTTCGTCTTTCTTCATCCACTTCCTTTTCTCTGCATGGCGAATCTGTAAATTTGAGTTCTTAATTGGTTCGACAAAAGAGAAAAACAGGCTGACGAATGGCTGACACTCGATGGACTATAAACATGAGCATCACGTCTTACCCTGACTATTAAAAATCTTGGATAGTATCTCCGCGATTGCCGACACCGAGGGGTAAAATGCTGTGTACCTCTCCTATTTTTGCGATGGTCCTGCAGTTCTCACTTTGATCTACAGCCCTATTCTACCCACAAAAAAGATTGATCCACCTGAACTCATTGTGGGCTGTGCCTTTAAGTCCACTTCTGGTAGAGAAATTGCAACAGTATTTCGCGAGGAAACTAAGAAAATAATACCAAACAGGAATTTGTGCACGTCGTATGAACTGTATTGCAATGAAACACTGCCATTTCTACTTACTGTATTCTTTAGGGAACTCCTAGAGATTGCTCAGTGGTTAAAATGATCAGTATTCAGTATTTGTAGCGAAAATTGAAATGGCTTGACTATTTGGTGGTTTTCGTAAGTCATTGTATGAGTTTAATGCTCATATAAAGATATTCAGTTTTGAATAAAAGTTGAATTTATGGCCCAGCCATGAGAATTGTTTACGCTTGTCATATCCAAGGAATCGTTCACGGAAAAATCATGATTCTATCTCAGCCATAAATCACTGGCTTGAGACCCATCGTTCACGATAAGAACGAAAAGAACAAAAAGCGTTTGTTTTGGTAAACAATTCGAAAAACCGGAAGGACTGTATGCGTTCAAATTCCCGCCGTACATCTGTCACAGTCCACAAATCTTGGCGTACGGAGAGGCCCGCTCAGAAAGGCGCATCGCGCGGCTGAAGAAGCCGAGTCAGCGGACGAGTCGCGCGCCGTATCAGCGGAGTGCAAGTCCAAATTAACACGTTGACGACATCGCATGTTTTGGCATTTTGCACCTCGTGGGACAGGAGCGATTTTGCGACCGCGCCGTCCTCACCTTACTTACGCTTATTTTTTGTTAAAAATGCACAATAACTTGAATTTCATAGGACTATTTCGGCAAGGACGATCGCACAAAGGTTAAGTATATAAGTAGCAAAAGGTTTTCGTTTAGAAGAGCGCATAATAACCACGAAGAAGTAAAAAAACATCACTTTCGCTGCGAATGAAATTAAAAGCATTTATATCTAAGTACTCCCATCAAATCAAATATATTGAAACTCACAGAGTTTTGTTTCAACTAACTCTAAAATCTTTCATAAGAATATTGACGGCAGTGAAAGTATTATTAAGAAAGAATCGGAACGAAAGTTTTGTGCGTTCGGAAAATCTTTGCTTAATCAAAAGATACTTGACCACTCTAGCTGCCAAGCGGTTTATAGTCATGCTAATGTATTATCTATAGAATGAATACAAGAAACCCGAGAGGAAGGAGCGCAAGCACGATAAAAGTGAGTAGCATAGACTTGACGCGCTTGCGCGTCAGAATGTCCGATGCGGTGCGAAATTCTTGACGCGCATGCGCGTCAGCTTGTCGTCAACGTGTTAAATAGAAGAATGTCCAGGGCCCTTATTCACCACACGTCACGCGCCAGCGACTTCGTCGCTGACTACTGCGTTGCTATGCCGCGCCATGGGCCCCCGGCGGCGGGGGGTACCCGTGGCGGGAGCGTATCCACTCCGTTTCGCGGAAGTGCCTTTCTCTAGGAAACCTTTTTGGCCTCTTCCTGATGGCAATAAAATTTGTTTTCTCTAACTGCTCATCCGTACTTCTATCGATTCGTTTGTCGTTCCTTTAGTGAACCGTCTCATATCAGAGAGCTTTCGGACGCGTTGCCAGATGCGATAAGACCTCAGGCGCACTTCCGCCCGTGCGTTCCCTTGTTTCCGCCTAGCCTGACCTCGACCGTTCATAGAGTGGTTCGGTTTCGTAAGTTGTTTTTTCCTTTTAGAAGATATCTTGCGTAAAACTATTATACACCGGTCTCTGGATATAGATTAACGATCATTATGATGGAAGAAATACAAGGTCGGGACAGCGGCCCTTAAGTCGCGTCCACGAAAAATATCGTTGGAATCACCAGTCCGAGATTCACTAGCAAGGCTTAACTGGTTGTTATTCTTGCAAGCCTTGCGTATGATCTTCTCGGCGTCTTCAACTCTATTCATCATAATAAGCCATCGTGGAGATTCAGGCAGAAAATGGATGAACACCAGGGCGATGCAGTGTAGTCCGACAGTGTTATCTGTATAGCACATGAATAAAACATTAGATTGGATCGATCCCTTTTTGGGATGCGCTAGCGTCACTTTTCAATGACAACCATGAGAATCATTTTCGCGGATGCGATTCGCCTACAGACGATTCTGCAGGGGGCCAGTCGATGTAACAAGCCAGTCCAGACAAGTCTCGTGCAAATAACCGACTCGGAAAATGGGGGCTTGGTTGACCTGGAGGCCGCGCGAAATAAGATTTGATCCCTGGTGTGTGTGATAAAGAGACCACTGCATAACTGTGCCCAAAAAAATTACATTCAATTTTATGCAACTCCCATAAAGGCCTACAGAGCGCGAAAACTCTCTGACAAATTCTTCTTCTCATGAGGAGGTGCTGGCAGACTCTGAATTTGAACCTGTCAGCAAATGGGGAAACAGGCCACAACTGAAGGCAGATGAAATGGCTCACAAGGCTAAATGGTTCAGCAAATTCACGCAGATTTAGTTCGGCGAAACACATAGGAGCTCGGAGGCGCTTGATAATGCTCCTTCAGAGGATTTACGATTAAAAGGCAGCTTATTAGAATAAATTTCTAGGTGGACAGTGATGAAAGGGTAAAAAAAAAAACCACGAGAAACGGCGAAGAACCAGCAAAATGAGACCTCTTCCTTGCCCGTTGATTTCCGCATGATGCGACTCTCATCGGTGCTCTACCCTCTCCAACGCTACGCTCCTTCTGCTGAGCGGCTAGAGACCTACGGAGTGGTTAGCCAGTCGGTGGGCGTGTCGCGCCGATAGCGCCGCGTTTAGGGCCATGCTAGATCGCCTGGGCATATCCTCTGCTGCACAATTGCGTGTCGGTTGCACCCATACGGGAGGCCGTCTGTCTCTCCACTAGGTAAATTACTCTTTCCTCAACCGTCAACCTCATCGTGGAATCATCGTTCAAGTGCAAAGGTCGCTAGCCTGCCTAAGATTATCGCCAATTAAAAAAGGCTTCCCAAAATGCACATCGCTCTTTCGAAGTAAGACGCGTTAATTAATACTTAATGAATAATTATATGGAAACGGATAGTAATCGATACATGTATTGCAGTCCATGACTTTGTAAGATAGGCAACGAGAGCCAGGAAAGCATAACCACATGCCCATGGAGCTTGAAGTAGACTACCAACAATAGAACGATACTCTTTACCTAAAAATTGAACCATTATTTTCTCAATATTTCTCGAATTTTACCGATTTGCACTAACCAGTAATTTCCATACAAAGAACATATGCTGCCAGATCGGCAGCTTCGTTACTAGCAGCGAGGAGGAATCGAACCACCAGGAATATTTCGAATTCACGGGAGTATCCGAGAAGAAATCCGAAGATCATCGATAGAATTCCGAAGCCGTAAATGGCCGTTTTCCTACCGTATCTAGAAAATTGCTGGATCAGTTAGTAGTTCACAGAGCTGCAATACTCGGAACACAACACTCTCTGACTACAATTATTGCCGACAGTACATATATTAAATCTACTGGAAAATTTCTGGGATGTATGATCCACTTTTTGTATAAAGAACTATTTGGGGTATAAGAACAGAAGAAATCTGCTTCAGTGACATCTCTATAGTGCACTACACAATCTATTATATGTTGTCTTCAAGAGCACATTCCACCATGAAAGCGACTGGGACAGGCCATCGTGAGTAGCGGAGTTCGGACCGCAAGCGCAGGGGTTGAGCCGTTTCCAAAAGTGCGCAACAGTGGACCCACGGCATTATCAGTTGACTGGGAGGATTGGCGACTAATCGCTCGCAATGCGACAAGGGATGGCGCGGTGTCTACGTCTGCGGGTCAATCCGTGTATGCTTCCTCGATCTTGCTCTCTCCTCGCCGCGCCCAGTGCCTGCCTTCAACGCCATTTCCGAGAACGCCTACCCAGTATCTTCAATGATTTCACGCTTTCTCCTCTGGCGATCTTTTCGCACCTACACCTTTCAGAACCACAAAGGGCACACTCCTCGAGTGAAGGACTTGGTTCAATTGAGGAGTGTGTTGATCGTGGTTCAGATGAATCAGACGGTCAACCCCTGGGAAACACCCCTTAATGTTTCCTGTAAGGTATAATATCAATACAGCGAACTCGAAGCTATGTAGGGGTCGATGCTTTGTACAGGAAGTATTTCATAGACGCATCGATCACAACGTTGAGAGCTGATTGCTACTCGCACGCATTTGACCTACTGCTATGAATGGTTCAAAGGAATTTCAAAAGTTATTGAGTTCAAAATAGAATTCAGTGATATTTTGCGAGTAAATCTGACACTGAAGTACCCAGATATAACTGTCGCGGTAACCTAACCATGCAGGCAATCGGTGCAGATCTTTTGATAAGTGCTCACCGGTCGCTAACAAATCCTCCAAGCAATCCGCCTACAAGATACCCCAGTCGAGTAGCTCATGTGTACGTGAGCACGACTCCAATTATTGTCACACACTCGATTCCACTCCGTTACCACAGTCTTCTCCATCACCTTCAACATCATCACAGATTGTATAAATAACAAAAGGGCATAGAAATGCAAAAAAAGAAAATAGAAAACGGAAAATGAAAATATCAAAGGAAAACGGATACCAAAGAAATAAAAACGAAGAGAAAATATAGAAGGTAAGTTATACGCCCAAGTAGGCCATCAAAATCGAACATACAGATTGATCGTACTCCCATTGCTCACATCTAACCACGGGGGCGTCATAAGCGTCACTGTAGTTGGCTGCCTGAAGATGAGCCTCTAATGA